GTGCCATTAGTACAGTGTCAGTGCTTTTTATTAGCACTAATCACTGTATTAGGGTCATTTGGATGTCAGTGGCAGTTAGTTCCCCCTCCCCAGTGTCAGAATGCCCACCGCAGTCCCGCTACAATGCGAATGTACAATACAAATGCACATGTTCCTGCATTAAAAATGGCTGTGTGTATAAGTGGGTGCTGCAGCGACTGTCGACTGGAACAGAATCAGCAAGGGAGGATGTCACCAGCACACTGAGGATCACCAATATGGGTCCAAAAGTTTTAATGAGCGATCACATTACAGTTACAGCAAGGCAACGTTTCGAAGTCACGCAGGATCCCTTCATCAGGCATGTGACAGCAGTCCCGCTATAGTCGCTGATTGCCGCCATTACTAGTATAAAAAAAATTTAAAATTTCAGTATCTATAGAGCCATTTGTAAACGCTATAACTTTCACGTAAACCAATTAATTTACACGCATTTACATGCATTTTTTTAGCAAAGACATGGAGCAGAATACATTTTGGCCTAAATTTATGATTTTTTTTTTTAATATATGATTTTTATAGCAAAAAAGTAAAAAATATTGCTTAAAAAAAAAAAAATCAGTCTTTTTTAACCATTTCAATACCGGGTAATTTTACACCTTCCTGCCCAGGCCATTTTTTCAGGTTTCAGCGCTTTCACACTTTGAATGACTTTGAATGACAATTGCGCGGTCATACAACATTGTACCCAAACTAAAATTTTATCATTTTCTTCACACAACTAGAGCTTTCTTTTGGTGGTATTTAATCACAGCTGGGGTTTTTATTTTTTGCTAAATTAACAAAAAAAGACCAAAAATTTTGAAAAAAAAAAACAAAAAAACACGTTTTTCTTTGTTTCTGTTATAAAAGTTTACAAATAAATAATTGTTCTTCATAAATTTAGGCCGAGATGTATTCTGCTACATGTCTTTGGTGACAATAACCCAAATTAGGATGTATTATTTAGTTTGTAGGAAAGTTATAGAGTTCACAAACTATGGTATAGATCTGAAAATTGATCAATCCTGAAGTACAGACAGCCAATCTAATTTCTTGAGGTCCAAGAATGTCAGAATAGTACAGATATCCCCCAAACGACCCCTTTTTGTAAAGTAGACAGTCCGACGTACTTCATAAGAGGAATGGCGAGTTTTTTGAAGTTGTATTTTTTTTTGTCAATTTTTCGGAAAATGTAAAAAATAAAATTATTTTCACTATTTTTTTTTTTTTTTACATACTGTCACCAGTGCAGTACAGCATCATCATATAACTGGTATGGCGGTGATCAGGGACACTGACTGGTGACAGTATGAAAAAAAATATATTTTTTTTAATTTTTTTTATTATTTTTAATTTATTACATTTTGGGTTTTTTTTTTTTTTTAAGATTTGTTTTTCATATTTTACTATGACCAAAGTAGTACAATGTTACCATAGTAACATTGTACTACTTTGGGGAAGTGATCAGTTTTTTTTTTTTTTTTTTTTTTTTTTTTTTTTTTTTACACAATTTGCTTATAGTAAAGAATTACTTTGCTATAAGCAAGCATTTACCTGAATGACATCAATTCATTCAGGTTTTTTTTTTTTTTTTTGCGCTTAGCTGTGATTTGGCCACAGCTAATCACTTGACATGTGCATGTGACCTGCTGTGACCATTCACAGCTAGAGACTAGTATACAATGGATGGCATGAATGAAGCCATCCATTGTATACAACTGTCATGTGACCTGCTGTGATTGGTCACAGCAGGTCACATGGAACCAGCAACAGGGGCGGGTACTCAGATCTGTCATCGGCCGTGTCAGAGGTACACGGCCGGTAATAGATCGCACTGCTGCGCGGCTCTGCAATCGCGCGAACTGCGCATGTGCGGGAGGACACCAAATGGCGTACACCCCGGAAAGCTAATGCATTTTTGCGGCCGCCAAACGGCTATAGGCCAGGTGGCTAATGGTTAATTTATAGTGCAAAAAATAAAAAACCCAGTGATGATCAAATACCACCAAAAGAAAGCTCTATTTGTGGGGGAGAAAAAATATATAAACCCCTTCCTGCCCAGTGTCATTAGTACAGTGTCAGTGCTTTTTATTAGCACTGTATTGTATTGGTGTCACTGGGGATGTCAGTGGCAGTTAATCAGTCCCCCCCCAGTGTCAGAATGTCCGTTGCAGTCCTGCTATAAGTTGCTGATCATCGCCATTACAAGTATTTAAAAATAATAATAATCGCAGTATCTATACCACCATTTGTAGACGGTATAACTTTCACATAATCCAATGAATTTACACGTATTGGGATTTTTTTTTTTTAGCAAAGACATGTAGAAGAATACATTTTGGCCTAAATTTGACAAAATTTGATTTTTTTTAATTTTTTTACTGGACATGTTTAATAGCAAAAAAAAAAAGTCAAAGATATTCTTTTCTCAAAATTGTTGGTCTTTTTTATTTATAGCGAAAAAAATAAAAACGCACAGGTGGTCAAACACCACCGAAAGAAATCTCTATTTTTGGGGAAAGGACGTAAATTTCATTTGGGTGCAGCGTTGCATGAACGTGCAATTGTCAAAGTAATGCAATAAATGGCCTGGTCAGGAAGGGGGGTAAATCCTCTGGAGGGGAAATGGTTATTAACAATAAATAGAGAATATTGGGTGTCGTACAGAAGTGGATGTCTCTGCGCCCCCAGTCTATCAGGCACGATGAGGGGGGTGGTAGTAGTACCGGGTTCCCTGTGCTGATGTCAGCCTGCCCTCTCCCCGTACACCTGTGCAGTATACACGGACACCTGTCCTGCTGTGGTGGGGGGAGGGGGGGAAGGAGTGGATGTCGGCCCCTCCCCCCCGTCCTCGTACCTGTGTCTTTGTAGTCAGCTGGATGACCGCCTTCCTAAAATTCAGCTTGGTGTCCGTGTTCCCCATCCCGGTACCGGAGCGAGCTGCCCGTGAACGGGCCCGATCCCCCCTGTCGAATCCGCCTGCAGCAGCTGGCAAACCGGATTTGTCAATCAGCGAGGGAAACCACGCCCCCTCCTGACATCAGCAGCCGCGCCCACCCGACTGGCGTATGTTTCTCTGTCCCAGCCTGAAGAATCAGTCACCTCAATGGCCCCGCCCCTAGGTGAAGGGTCCGGCCCGCAGGTAAAATGGCCCCGCCCAGTAACCTTACAAGGATGGCAGGAGGGCCGCCTTGTAATACGGAGAGCGGAGTTCTGGCAGAGGGAGCGGGTGTAAGTACCGACTACACGGCCGAGTGTGAGCAGCGGTGACGACAGGGTTAAGGATGCCGGGGCACCATGATGCCATGAAGGAGGGGATAGTGGCAGCCAATCAGAAAGGAGGAGTGACAGGCCAGCTTGGATGGGAGGGCGGGGCTTGGCCGGTCCAGGCCTGGGGATGCTACGGGGATACAAGAAAGCCTAGTTCGGGAACCGGTTGGGCAGAGGCCGGGGGGGTCAGCGGCTGGTACCGGGGGAGGCGGCGATCACAGCACGGAGGAGTCTGATCCTGCTGGAAGGCTGTGCATTGTAACCGGAGGTCAGCCTGCCTGGGATTGTACTGTCAGAGCCTAGCCCATAATACCAGGACAGCACTGACATCACACATACATAGGAGCCACACAGGAACAGAGCACACATAGGGGCCCGTCATTAGCGTCACTCATAGGGGCCCACTATTGATGTCACCCACAGGGTCCCATTATTGATGTCACCCATAGGGCCCCCTATTGATGTCACCCACAGGGCCCCATATTGATGTCACTCACAGGGCCCCATTATTGATCTTACCTATAGGGCCCATTGTTGATGTCACCTATAGGGCCCCATTATTAGTGTCACTCATAGGAGCCCATTATTGATTTCACCCATAGGGGCCAGTCTTGATCTAACACATATTGGTCCATTATTGAGGTCACCCATAGGGCCCCAATACTGATCTGACACAAAGAGGCCAATTATTGATGTCACCTATAGGGTACATTATTTATGTCACACATAGGGGCCCATTAGTAAAGTCACCCATAGGGCCCCATTAATGATTAACACAGAGGGGCCCATTAGTGATGTTACCCATAGGGCTCCATTATCATTGTCGCTTATAGGGGTCCATTAGTGATATCATCCATAGGGGCCTATTATCAGTGTCACTTTTAGGGGTCCATTATTCATCTGACACATAGGGGCCCATTAGTGATGTCACCCATAGATGCCAATTATCAGTGTCACTTTTAGGGGTCCATTATTGATCTGACACATAGGGGCCCATTAGTGATGTCACCCATAGAGGCCCATTATCAGTGTCACTTTTAGGGGTCCATTACTGATCTGACACATAGGGGCCCATTAGTGATGTCACCCATAGATGCCCATTATCAGTGTCACTTTTAGGGGTCCATTATTGATCTGACACATAGGGGCCCATTAGTGATGTCACCCATAGAGGCCCATTATCAGTGTCACTTTGAGGGGTCCATTACTGATCTGACACATAGAGGCCCATTAGTGATGTCACCCATAGGGGCCCGTTATCAGTGTCACTTATAGGGGTCCATTATTGATCTGACACATAGGGGCCCATTAGTGATGTCACCCATAGGGCTCCATTATCAATGTCACTTATAGAGGACACATAGAAGCCCATTACTGCTGGTGTATAGAAGGAGATTGGTGTGACAGGGGCTAAGGGAGGAGCGCACTGGGGGGATCCTGGCCCCGTAATGGTAGTATCTAGTCCTGGAGATCACAATCAGGTGGTAGGACTTATGAGATCAGTAGTAGTAGATACTGACTTGTACAGAAGATTGGGGTGTCGGGGAGAGGTACCCATGACAGATCAGGAAAGCCTCCCTAAATTCGGATGTGTCATTTCTTCATGACGCTGTGAGGGGTTCATCGCCAGTCTAGGAATCCACAAGTCCCAGTTTATAGTGACAACATCTGCAGTGGTGTGTCCAGAGGAAGTTTTGTCGTCAGGCCAGATGTTGGGGGCAGGAAGAATGGAAGAGTTCCATAGTGAGGAGGACGAGCCTTGGTATGATCAGCATGATCTTGAGCAAGGTAAGAAAGGAAAACCAAGCAATAAAGCTTTCCCTGTGCCCATAACCTTCCCTTCTCAGGAAAAAAAGTTCATCCTGCCAGTAAATGGGCATTTCCTTTGGTAAGGTGACAACGCTTACTACTCTTCCTGCAATGCAGCAGTGGCGTTGTCCCCCTTCCATGAGCACTCCTGCATCAAGACTAGAGATGAGCTCCTCCATATTCATCTCTAACCAAACTTGTGATCTGCAGGCCGGGTCACTCCCGCCACACATCCTGCGTCTTTGTTTACATGAGGTGCGGGGTGGAAATGACCTGGTCTGCAGCTCACTGGAGTAAACAAGGGGTTCAAGATTGCCTAGAAGGGAATTCGGAGGGTGCCCCAAGCTCGTCTCTAATCAGGACTCCAGACTAATGTGGCACCTTGTCGGATATGTAAACTTGCCCCGCCAGTAAACAGCGGCGCTGCGTTATTACATCAGCAATAGGTCCTGTCACTTATTCTGAACAAGCAGCAAAAGCACTTTAAGAGCCCTCATTCACCTCTGTACATATAAACACTGTGGCAGAATGTAATATAAAACACCATGCTGCGCTTCCATCTGCAACATTTCCATCATGATCATTCTGTCATTAAACGTATAATCAGGGCTGCTGTTACATATCACCCCGTACAGCTCTGTCAGCCCCCCCTCCTCCCCCACTGCCAGAGAAAATATCCAAATTATATTTCTGGTAAAAAATACACTAAAAACATTATTAATGTACACAATCCCAACACAATTCCTGTTATATCTAAATGATAAAACTGTACTGAGTTAATAAAGCTGTGTGTGTAATTGAGGTTTTGGGGCTCATTCACATGGGTGCTGTGGCCTGTAGAGTGTGGATCAGTGGTTTGTTTATGTGGCTGGAGCTGTTTGCAGGCAACCTATGTTACACAATGGAAATGCTGCAGGTCCTAATTTGACAGGGATATAGGTGCAGGTATACAGCCCTGAACACAGACAGTGAGCATTCAGGGCCACTTTCCCATGCCTGCATACCTGTCAGATTAAGCCTGGGTTCACATATGTGCAGTGTGGTATATCGCATGTGATTCGCACAGGAACTGCACTGCATTCCTATGCAAATCACAAGCGATTTGTGTGCGGTGCGATTGGAGCCATACATTTTGTATAGCTCTAATCACACCGCACCCGCACCAAAAACATGTATGACCCTTTTTTTGGTCCGCCCTAGAATCGGATTGCATGGGTATTCACACCTATGTGATCTGATTCTGCACATCACACCACGTTTTGTGGACCACTTTTGGCATGTAAACTTAAACACACACACACTCGCATCGGTTCGCATCAACGGGGTGCGATTCTGATGTGGTGCAGAATTCGCACTAAAAACGCATCGCATCAATGTGAACTAGGGCTAAAACCTGTGTTCATACAGACAATTTTTTTTTCTGAGCCCATTAATTTCAATGGGCTGCCTAACATGTGGGAACATGGAGAAATACTGCAGGACAGGGGCGGACTGACAACTCATGGGGCCCCCGGGCAATAGGGGATCATGGGGCCCCTATGTCCTTGCCCAAACTCAATAAAGCCTATGAAAAAGGTACCAGGGGCATTTCATGGGGCCCCCTACTGACCCCAGGCCCTCGGGCACTGCCCGAGTTTCCAAATGGTCAGTCCTCCCCTGTTGCAGGCATATTATTTTAAAAGTATGTTGCACCTAACCGCACAGTAATGTGGTGCCATGCGTTTTGGTGGCTGTGACTGCATCTGTGTTTGCTAGACGTGTGGAGGTACAATTAAGTATTCATGGTGCCTGCGCACATCTGCAAAGCGTATTGCGTTTCTTCTCTGTGCAGGAAAATGCGTGCTCTTGCATGCATTTCTGCACCACAAATGGTGCAAACAAGTCCTATGGGCCGGTTCACGCTACAGAAATGCCCTCTGGATGCATTCCAGATATGTTTTTGCTTACAGTTCACCCCACACGCAGTTCCGTTGCAGTTTTGATGCAGTTTGCCATGTTCTAGTACAGTTCTGTGCAGAAAAAATGCAGCCTCTTCTTCTATAAGGAAAGAGAGGCTTGTAGCAGTGAACAGAAGGGGATCAGCAGTCTGGGGGAGAGGACTCGGCTACATAGAGATCATAGAGCCGTGCTGGGAGGAGATAAAAGACAGCAACACGAACAGAATGGAACTGGTGGGCTGTGACTGTCAGGGAGGCAGGGGACCAGGGAGAGAACAGGGGAGATATACAGGCTGGGCAGGCAGGAGAGATCTGACAGGAGGAGGAGTGCAGAGACACACCAGGGCCCAATCAGAGAGAAACATCAGAGAGTGATTATCTGAGAGGCAGAGTGAGCATGGCAAGTATCTGGAAGGAGGATGCCAGGGAGAGAAACAAAGTTACAATCAAATGTAAACAGAAGGAAACATGAAAGTGTCAAACTTGCGGAGCAGAGCAGGAGTACAGGTAACATTCACAACACTGAGCCGCCGTGCGATAGGATGACAGGAGCAGCTTCCCGGGCCCCCCTCTGCAGCTGATGGGGCCAGGCCCCCTACAAGAGGGCCAGGGGTACCCCCTTATCAGCGGCCCTGCTTATAATACTATATAGACTAAGTATACATAAACAATGTGCTTTCAAAAAATGTCCCTTCTGTTCACATAGTCCTTCAAAAAATCATCTTGTGACGCATCTGTGAATATTCCATCTGTACATTCAAATGTTCTCCCAAACTTTGTGCACCATCACCAATACAGTGTGTGCTTCTCTGTAATCACACTGCTCTGGATGGCTGTGCTGTGCAGGTTCCCTAGTAAAACACTACACAGTACACAGTTATATCACTGCCTAACACACAGGTAACTCTGTGATCACCCCAAAAGTTAACCCCTTCCTGCCCAGAATCATTAGTACAGCGTCAGTGCTTTTTATTTGTACTAATCACTGTATAACCCTCCGTTCACATCAAGCCTGGCTTTGAAATCGTGCGACTTACAGTCCGCCAAACTCAGGTGCGATTTCAGGTGCTCACCACCGTGCTGCAGTAACACAAAAAATGGCCTGGTCAGGAAGGGGGGTAAATCCTCAGGAGGGAAAGTGGTTAAAGGGGACGTAGCATGGGGAATGTCCTCAGCAGGGGCAGACTGACCATTTGGAAACTCAGGCACTGCCCGAGGGCCCGGGGTCAGTAGGGGGCCCCATGAGATGCCCCTGGATACCTTTTTCATAGGCTTTTTTTGAGTTTGGGCAAGGACACAGGGGCCCCATGATTCCCTATTGCCCGGGGCCCCATGAGTTGTCAGTCCGCCCCTGGTCCTATGGCTACATACTGTTGCTAATAGGTGTCCCTCATTCCCATCTCAGAATTCCCTCTGCATTGTGTAAAAAGTCTGTTTGATCCTGACTTCTCTGATCCTCCCCTTCTTCCAGTATCCCCTTCTTATCTCTTGATAAGTCATATCGTGTGGAGACACTCTGCACATGCTCAGTTTGGTGTGTATTGCTAGAGAGGTTTTTTTTTTTTCTTGTGAGAGTGCATGTGATCAGCATAGAGCCAATCAGCACTGTCTAGACAGAGGTCAGGGATTCTGCATCCTCCTAGAGAAAACTTCAAACTTTAACCAGTGCTCTGCTGCACACTGATCGAAGTCACAAGACTGCTCTAACTGCTGATGAGAAAAGGTATTTAGCAGTTTATATTTACTAAAATAATTGCATTTTCCATGTTCTGTGTAATGTGGGAGACCAGATATAGTGAATGCAGGGTCCAGGGAGACCAGATATAGTGAATGCAGGGTCCAGGGAGACCAGATATAGTGAATGCGGGGTCCGGGGTTTAGTAACACTTTAATTAAAAAAAATTTGCTGGAAATATGCAATGAGACAATATTTGAAAGGTGGGTTATTGTGCAGCTTTTCATTCTACTTTAGTGTCCATAGTCTGGCCATGGGTGTACTTTGAAGATTAACTCTGGGCAGAGTTGGATTTCCACTACTGGAGTCTATAGACACAAAACCTTTGCTGCCCAAAGCAACACCCCACTGCTAGAATAATCCCTTTTATATGGGAATATTTTCTTGGTTTACTGGTCCTAATGTGCCGTAGAAAATGTGTAAATGCCACAACAGAGCTGCCTTGGCTGTCAGAGTGTTGGAAAGTCATTGAGGCCAACAGAGAGCTCAGACAAAAGCAAACAGCTGAACAACAATATGGGATACTGCAAAGAAAAGAAACGTAACATTTTATTATGCCAGACAGAACTGGATATCCTGTTGGCATTACTAAAATACAAATTTCCTGAACTTGACATTTGCAGTAATAGTAATGATGTTGCATGGTGAGGTTGAAGGCAACAATATCATTATGGCTTACCTTTGTTATATTTATTTATTTATTTATTTATTTCAGGTACTTATATAGCGCCGTCAATTTACGCAGCGCTTTATATCTATATTGTACATTCACGTCAGTCCCTAACCCTCAAGGGGTGTACACTCTAAGGTCCCTAACTCACATTCATATACTAGGGCCAATTTAGACAGGATCCAATTAACCTACCAGCATGTCTTTGGAGTGTGGGAGGAATCCAAAGTACCAGAGGAAACCCATGCAGGCACAGGGAGAACATGCAAACTCCAGGCAGGAGGTGCCGTGGCTGGGATTCGAACCAACGACCCTAGTACTGCCAGGCAGAAGTGCTAACCATTTAGTCACTGTGCTGCCCTGTTATATCACTTATTCTGTTGACCTAGAATGCCCATGTTTTAAAAATGACTGGCCCAGCAGAGTACAAAATAAAAAGATCTCAGGTTGCAATATTACCCTCTGTTCCAGTGCTGTCTCCTCAAAGACTTGGCAATGCTGGTCCTCTTCTGGGTCAAGTGAAGCCGAATGTCATCCAACCCTTCTCCTATGAACCCAGGCAGTGGTTTGGATGTGCATCATCATGCTGGCCTGGGCTAACAGCAGTCCTGGACAACATTGTGCTCACTTGTGATTA